TATATTGCTCTCTATAATGTCTCTGGTAATTTACAACCCCACCAATGGTGTATAAAAGTTGCATCTTCTGCACATCTGCACTAGTATTTTTAATTTTTTCTATTTATAACCACAATTTAATAGTTTTTCACATATCACAGCCACAATCAGTTTTAGACGACTTTTGCCAGCTCAGAAAGAAGCCCTCCTCCTTTCCCCACCATCCCGTAACCAGACCTGAGCAGCACTAGACTTCTCCCTCTAGGAATTTGCTTCATCTCAGCACTTCACATAAACTGAATCTTACAATAGAGGTCTTCTGGACCAGTCTTCTTTCACTTGGCAAAGCATTTTAAAGGTTCAGTCACACTGAAGCAAGTCAGTACTTCATTTCTTTTTATTCCCAAATAATATTCCACAGTATTAATATACCATTGGTTTATGAATGTGGGAGTTGTCTGCTTTGCTTTTATCTTTCTTGTGTCTTTGAGTAATGCTGCTATGAACGTGCATGTACAAATTATTTTGTAAAATTTTATTGATTTTTTTTGTGTATTTCATACAGAACATCTTAATCAATCTTAATCATCTTTATCCCCCTTCCCCATTGGCACCCTTCCTCAGGCCCCAACCCCACTGGAATTCATACACTCTGTCATTTGTGGTAATTAAGACCTATCATGTCAAGTTAGTGTTCCCAGATGTTCCTCATTGCAAGTTCATCTACTGGGGTCTAGGCAGCCTATCTAGTTCTTCCCTTTGAGAAGATCAGCTCTTCTTCAGCCAGCAGTAATCAGCTGTCAAAAATTCAACTAAGATTGTGGATTCTTGCCCATTTCCACAGTTCTGTGCTGGGGTTTTTGGTCTGCTTAAGTTTTCATGGGTCTTGTGCATGCTGACACCATTGCTGTAGGATCATATGAGCAAGGTCTCGGGAGCTTGTACAACTCCATTTAGATATGGTTGTGTACCTCCTCCCTGGTTCTTACAATATTTCCACCCCCTTTTCCACAATGGTCCCTGAGCCCTGGGGGAGTGAAGTTTAATATAGGAGTCCTGTCCAAGGACCCACACTCTGCAGACTCTTAGTCTCCACATTTTGGCCATTTGTGACTTTTGTGTTCTTGGCCCCCGGTTGCATGAGGAAACTTCACTAATGAGAATTGAGAGATGCATTAGTCTTCTCTTTACCCCTTGTTCTATGTTCAATGAGCCATGGATATAGAGGTAGATGTGTCACTTAGTCTTGGGCAATTCACAGACTGTGTCTGTGTGCAACCAGTTGTGGAACTCTGTAATAGTCTCCGTCTTTTGAAAAAGAGGCTTCTTTGATGAGTGTTGACTGGACTGGAATACTTGTTTGTAAACAGAAGTATCCATAGTTTTCACATACTAAGAAATTACATTTGTCTAGGGTTTGTGACATCTTTGGGGTTTTCTCTAAAATCTAAGATCTCTCCAGCCATGTATATTTGGCTCTGTTTACAGTGCCACACATGAGTTTGCTCCCACTGAGTGGGCTTTATGTCCAGTTAGGTAGCCGTTGATTACCCCCAAGATAAAAGCGCTAGTATTGCACCAATGTCATTTGCTGTGCCAGTCATTGATATGGTTATTAGGCCTTGAAGCTGGGGTTGGATCATCGATTGATGTTCTCTCTTAGCAGCTTGCACAGTGCTTTCCAAAGCTATGAAAGCTAGCTTTCACAGGAGGTGGCTTCCAGGTCAGTTCCAGCTCTAGTACTTTAAATCCTGTGTCCAAAGTATGTCCTGCCTTCAGCAATAGGGTCTTACCTTCAAGATCTGGAAGGCAATCAAGTGTTGTGATAACAGTCTTTGGAATTTTGTGAGTCTCCTGGACTACTCTCACTGACAATTCAAAGGAAGCTTTCTCCTGTTTGGCACTGTTTTTTGTTAGGAGTCTTCTTAAATTGTTTGAGTTAGTACTTATTTATACTGTTGTATGTTTTGTTTTGTTTTTTTTTGGAAACACAAGTGAGCTGTAAGTTTCCTCCCTGCTGACTGCAGAGAGGTATTATATAAACTGTTGGAAAACTTATCACTGATCCTACCCAATCGTGGACTCCATTAGCTACAGTAATGACCTGCCTGGCAGATATGACCACAGCTGCATTAATGCTATGCCTATTATTGATGAAACCAACTGCTTTCTTATTGGACTGGAAGCCTACTGCATAGGGTGGAATTCATGGCGTATACTCTAAGCCTGGTCAAGAATCCATAACTGGGTAGGCCTTAGACCCCAGATGAGAACTCTCTTGTTTTGCTTTGCTAAATGAACATGATATAAATTGACTTCTTAATATTTAATTCTGTACCCATAAATTAGTGATATTCTCTTTCTTCAAAAGAGGCTTCTTTTTGCAGCAGGCAACAGTTATTTAAGATTCAAAACTTATTAAATGAGTATGCTAAGTTACTGTATTTTGATCATATCCAAACCTAACTCCTCCCTTGAATTCCTCCCAGATCTGCTCCCACCTCCCTACTTCTCCAACATCATCTCCTCTTTTGTTTTTAGTTTAATTGTTCATCAACTCTGGTTTATGATGTCTATAATCTTCTGGGTATGGATCCATCCACTGGAGCATGGTCAACCTACCAGGAACCACATCCTTAAATAAAACTACCTCTCCCTCCCTTAGAAGTCATCAGCTGTCCAGAGATCCTCAATTAGGGTTGGGAGCTCATGAACTCTGTGAGCTTTTCCATGAGCTCTCCACTCCATGCTGGCAGGTTTACTGGCCTGATTTTGGGCAGGTCTTGCACAGGTGACCAAAGATGCTGGAACTTTATGAGTGCAGTGGTCCAACAGAACTGGAAGGTGTTATACAGATTGCTAGGGGGAAAAATCATCAGTAGCCTTACCAAGTTGGGAATACTGCAAACTACACTAATGAGTGATGTGACAAGATATTTGCAAAGGAGAATGAGTGACACTGTTGAAACTAATTGTTGATGGAGGGACTCTTGCTAGGAGAATGAAAATTCTTTATATCAATATTTCTTCTAGTCTGAGACCAAGCAAGAATTGAGAGAGAGAGAGAGAGAGAGAGAGAGAGAGAGAGAGAGAGAGAGTAAGACTCATCAATTTTACTTTAAATTCTACAGTGGCAAAAGTGAATCTAAATGCTATTGTATAAAATTTTGACAATCCTCTACAATTATTTTTTTAAAGGAAATTGAATTTACTACTTATTCAAACTCCTGACAATTGAAGCATAAATCCTCAGAACTTGGAATTTGGTTGTTTCTAATTATACTTTCAATATTCTTCCATTAATTAGTAACTGTAACCACTTAATAAAAATTTTTCAGTTTATACCAAGTTAGACTGCACAGTTTATATGAATCCATAAACATAAAAATAAGCTTTACTTTGAACAAGTATACAGTTATTATAAAAAAATATGCATAAGTAAATTTGGAACTGAGAGGTGAAGCAGCGTGTCTCAGCTTTCATCTCTGTGGGGTTGGACAGTACTGCGTGGTAGGGGTTAGATCAATACAAAAATTATGAGAGCTTGATTTGTTGTTGTTGCTTTATGCATTTTCCAAATATGTTACTGCAATAGGTGATGAGATTGGAACACAAGACAATATTGAGGTTTTGGAACGTAATTTTAATGATCTAGTTTAATATTCTGTTCTGTGTTGTACCCCCGATCTTAGATGATTCAAAGACTATCTCAACTGTGGAAGGTTGACTAAAGATGTTACTGAGTATGTTAAAGCTGTAGTGAAATGCTTCTTCTAATCATGTAGTTATTAAAAATAAAAAATATAAAAAATAATAATTCCTCAAAGCATAAAAATTTACTCCTTAATAATTAGCAGATGTGAAAAACATTACCATTGAAATCTACCTAACAACTTTATATCCATGCTCAGATGCCAAGGAGCTCAGAAAGTAACCGACTGTGACTAGTAATAATCAGATATAGCGATTAGATATAGAGATTAGAAATGCATGTGCAAACATCTTAAAGTCAATTGCATTAAAAATGAATTTTTCTGTATGAAACTGTGTATTTTAGTAATGAAATGGAGATCTTTTCTTAAAGGTTAAAGCCTCATTTAATTTTATGTCTCTTAGGGTTTATACTGAGTACAATATTGTATAACTGCAATAATTCAACTGTAAACCTAAAAATTTACAGCCACTTTTGAAAGAGATACATCTTAGCTCTGGAAATTGTTATTGAATATGTCAATGCTGTTGTAATGAAATGTTTCTTCTAAGTATGTGGTTATTAAATAAATAATTTTTTTAAAAAAGATGGCAGTTGTTCAATGTAAAGATGAGTTTGACCTTGGACTTTCAGTAATTTTTAAGCTAAAATATTACCTTTCATTCTTTATAAGAAAAATATAATTCTCCTTTTAAAATATACAATAAAAAGATATACAAATTGTTTTGGTAACAACATCTTAAAAGACCTTTCTTTTTGTTTTGGTCATTGATTTCTTACTGATATCAGCTAAGGTATCATTTTCTTTGGCCAACCATGCTAGTAATTTTCTGATTGAGGTTTAATGAACTCTGTGAGAGAATCTGAAAACAAATCTTTCATGTCTGGATCATCAGGTAGCTGAGTCCAAGGACTTAGTGAATTTGCATGGTCTTTGTCTTATCAGGATGAGTTCCATCAACCTTGATATTAGTGACTACTTCCTTATTTCTATTAAAACTCGAATAGCTACGACAGCATGGTGTTAACTAAATTCTCCCTCTCCATCCAGGCTGAGCAGTCTTTTGCTCTGAATTGTAGCACAGTAGAAGGAAGATTGTCTATTAAATCAGGAGAGGCGTTTTAATGAATGTATTCTGGGGCTGACAAGGAATGAAGAGAGCTGAGAGACAAAGGAGCCTCCTAGGCTTGTTGAAACAAACCTCCTTCTAAATTTTAAGCCTGACTGCATCTGAAAACACTCTCAAGTAGTGGAGGCCCAAGGAACAGCTGGGCAACCTAGACTCACATTTCTGCTTCACTGAGAAGTTTATGTTATGATCTGTATCATTGTGGGAAAATAGTTGTACACTTGTTGACAGTAATAAGTTGCAAGATCTTCAGGCTGTAGGGTGCTGATAGTGAGGATGAAGTCTGTCCCAGATCCACTGCCACTGAACCTTGAGGGGATCCCAGAGATTGTCTGTGAAGCATACTTGATAATTAGCTTTGGTGCCTGGTTTGGTTTTTGTTGGTACCAGTGTAAGCTTGTACCAACGTTTTGGCTGGCCCGGCAGTTCAGGGTGATTCTGTCCCCTGGAGTCACTGGTAATACAGTTGGAGACTGGGTCATCACAATCTCACCTCTGGAGGCTGAAACAACATATAGAACATTAGAACATGACTGTACATATGAAAAGTGCCTTTAACCTACTTAGGAAAATAAAAATTATTTTATTTTCTCAATTTCTTTAAACTGTAAGTCAAACGCAATATGATGCTGAACTTCCAAATGAAGCAAGAAAATTGGGTATTTAAATAACATCCTCACTTTTTGTTTTGTCCAAATATTCTTACCTGAAACCCAGAAGAAGAGAAGCCCTAGGAGTTGTGGTCGGGACACCATCTTCCCACGTTCCCTTTGTGTATTGATCATGACACAGTACAGAGGAAGCCCTTCTTATATTATTATAAGAGGCAGGGACAATTCAGATGGGAGAGGTACTTATGCAAATGATGGGGTTTCATTTGGCTCCAAACACTGACTTTAAACAGTGCAGGCACCCTTGTGTACTCTCGGAGTGTATCTCCCTCTTCTGGCCACCTGGAGATGCTGAATATAGAAAAGGATCTATGCCCACTTCTCCATGCACAGAGCTAGGCAGTGAGCACAGTCTAAGGAAGTCTTTGGAATAGCTAATCATCTGAAATAATAGCTTGTCACAACCTTGATCATGATCCAAGGTTATGTTGCCTGCCATCCTGCTTATCACAATATGGGCTGAAGAATATTTAACTGTCGGAACGTTCCATAAAGTATCACATGGTATAACAGTGTAGTGATATCATATAAATTATATACAATGATCAAGAAATTACAAAGACTGGATGTCATAGTGAGACATATTCCTCCAGGGCATGAAATGGAAGCCTTATGAAAATTCATGAATCTGTCACAGTGGAGAACTTCAGAGTTCTTGAAATCAAAATACTTGCTTAACTCATTCCATATGAAGAAAATATCATTGAAAACCTTTATTCTAGGTGATAGCTTAATAAATACTTAACAGGAAAATCTGTGTTTATGTTTGTATCTGTACACCTGTGTATCTATGCAATGTGTTTGTGTGTACATGTCTGCATCTCTGTGTGCATCCCTACATGTGTCTGTGCATATATATGCACCTGTGCATGTTGCATGTCTATATGTGAAATATCAAAATACCTAACAGTCTATTTCAAGTAAGAGTTTATCAGCATTAGATCTATTGAGTATTTACATTAGACAACTTTTTGGTACTGGAAATTGTCTTGTTCATCTAACATCTTTAGCAGGATCTCTTGCCCCGATCACTTAAATCCAGGAAAGTCTGAAATTAAAATGACAACAGCACAATAAATTAAAAAGGAAATCTGATTACAAAGAATGTATCATTCATGTCTTACCAAGAGTTGGAAGAAGCATTTCTGGACTGTTTAAACAATTTCCATTCTTAGTACAAGATATCTATTGATTTGTTATGCTACTTAAAAGACCACAATTCTGAGTCAGTCTGAATCTAGATCAAAATCTTCACAGGTCCATAGGAAAAAGCAAGTGTTCCTGTCACTTGGGCCACATAACCAAGCTAGAGCATTTTTTAAATTTATTTATTGATTTTATATGTATGAGTGTTATGCCTGCATGTAGGTAGGTGCACCCATATCATGCAGTGACCACAGAGCTCAGAGGAGGGAGTCAGGTACCCTAGAACTTGAATTATAGATAGTTGTTAGTCACCATGTGGGTGCTTGGATTCAAACCCTGATCCTCTGCAAGAGCAGCCAGTGTTTTTAACTGCTGAGTCATCTCTCCAATTCCTAGAGCATATTTCTTAAATAAGAACAGTGTTTGGATTTCTTGAAATCCTTCATAACTATAATACTAGTCTTAGTACACTAACATTCTAGTGCAAACAAATTGTGAGGAAAAAGGCATCCTTCTTCAGTGTTAGTGGGGGTACAAATTGATATAGTACGATGGAAATCAGTGTGGAAATTTCTCAGAGCTAAAAGTAGAACTACCATATTGCTCAGCTCTAGCACTTATGGGCATATACCCAAAGAACTTAATGTGCTATGACAGAGACAGATGCACATCATGCTTCCTTTAAACTCTATTCATAATAGCTAGGAAATGGACTTCACTGATTTCTGTCCAAAGATGAATAGCTAATTAACATGTGGTACACTTTCACAATGGACTTTCATTCATTCATGAAAAGAGAAATTATGAAGTTTTCAAGAAAATGGATTGATGTGGAGAATTATACTTAGAAAAGCAATCCAGACCCAGAAAGACAAATGGCACATGTGTTCTCCCTCACCTATAAGTGAAAATTTTGTCTGCAGAGGTAGGACTGTATAAAGGGGCAAGGAAAAGAAGGGAGGTCATTGGGTGGGGAAAATAAAAGAACACATGATAGTAAATTAGAGCTGGTGCATACTGGAGGTAGAAATGCTTGTTGATGAATGATAGTGGGGAAAATATGAAGAAGGGGTTGGGGAGGAGCGTTGAAGACATTATAATTATTTTTCCTACACCCAAAAAGCAAAAAAAGAAAAAAGTATAAACTACTAGTCAATATTACTTGATGGACAAGTTTAGGGCAGTGAGTCTTTGGAGACAATGGAGTATTTAGTGACTTGCTTTAGATGGGAATTCAACACCAACCAGATGTGTATGGTTATTATATCTTTTATTATCAGTACAAGAATATTCTTACATGGAAGAACTTGATAGTTCCATAGACTAGGTGATTAAATTCTGATAACAATGAAACACAAAATATTTGGAAAAAGTTCATAATAGACATACACAGATGAAATAAAATAACATAAAATTTAGCTCTTATTTTATTGACATTAAAGTTCATTAACGTGATAAATTGTCTACATCCATTAAAAAATTTAATTGTGTAAAAAGTATTATGTTGAATAAATGGGGTTTATATGCATGAAGCCACAAACATAGAACTATTACCTCTTAAAGCTTTGCAACTTTGGGTCTGGAGAGATGGCTCAGCGATTAAGAACACTTGTTGTTCTTGCAGAAGACCCAGGTTTGAATCCCAGCACCCAGATGGCAGCTAATAACTGTTTGTAACTCCAGTCCCAGGGGATCCAACAGCCTCTTCTGAGCTCCGCGGGCACTGCATGACATGGGTCCACTTACCTACATGCAGGCAATACACACATACACATTTTTTAAAAAGCTTCACAACTTTGAACAAAAATACTATGTGTGGCAAAAGGTCATTAAGTACCTTAAAAAGTGTTCAAAGCCCCGAGTCATCAGTGAAATGGAAATTACAACTACTTTGAGATATAATTTCACCAAATCAGAATATTTTCCATCAAAAGCAATGAAGATTTGGGCATGCTGGAACTTGCCTTTAATCATAGCACTCAGGAGGCAGAGGCAGCAAGCTCTCTGGTAAGACTGAGGCCAGCCTGGGATATATAGTGGGTTGCAGAACAGCTGTGGCTAGAGGGAGACCCTATCTCAAAAAGACCAAGAACAAAAAAGAAGAAAGAAAGAAAGAAAGAAAGAAAGAAAGAAAGAAAGAAAGAAAGAAAGAAAGGAAGGAAGGAAGGAAGGAAGGAGGAAAAGAGGAGAAAAAGTGCTGGAAACCGTTGGAAAGGAAATGTGGAAAGAACCTTTATTCACTGCTGTTGAGAATACAAACTACTGCAACCATTATGGAAATCAATGTAAAGGTTTCTCAAAAATTTAATAATAGAATGACAATAACCCATCTATACACCACTCCTGGGCATAGCTGTAAAATTTTCCATGTCTTATGCTGCTCTAGTCATGATGAAAAAGGAACGGAATCAGCCTAGATTTTCATCAAGAGAAAAATAATGAATGTGTGGTATGTATTAACAATGGAATTTTATTCAGCTATAAAGAAAAACTGAATTCATAAGATTTGCAGAAAAACTGATAGGTCGAAAATATAATGCTAAAAGAGGCGACTCAAGCTCAGAAAGACAAAGAGCACATGATCTCTCTCATATGTGGATCCTAGTCTATAGTGTGTGTGTGTGCGTGCGTGCGTATGTATGTATGTATGTATGTATGTATGTAAATGTGGCTAACATCTGAAAAACTATAAAGGAGAAGATGGAGTAAAGCTAAGTGGTGAGGATGGATCAAGAGCATGTTGGGCAAGAGATAATGTGGAAATGGAAGAGAAAATAAGAAGAGAGACGGGGCTATAAGGGGGATTACAGGTAGCAGGGGGCTAAGAGAGATGAGAGGAATGGAGAATCACTAAAAGATTTTATTCAAAAATACCATAACATCCAATACCTTATATGATAATATAAGTTTTAAATGAAAAGTAACCCTATGTGTGGTCATATAGGAATATCTCTCCTGTTCTCTTTCTCACTTCACTCTCTCTCCAAATACATGCAAAAATTGTGAACAAATGTGGTGTGATGATTGGAATATTGGCCTGTGCTGGTTTGAGTGAGAAAAGTTCTGCATAGACTCATGAATTTGACTGTTTGATCCCTACTTGGTGGTGGCATTTAGGGAAGTTCTGGAATCATAGCCTTGATGGAGGAAGTACATCACTGGGGATGGTCTTTGGGATGTCATAATCTTGCCCCACTTCAAAAAATATTTTTTATTGATTCAAGAATTTCATGCTGTATATTTTGGTCATATTCAGGTCACCTCCACATCGTAACCCCCACTAGCCAACCAACTTTATGTCCTCTATTTTTTTTTCTCTTTTTAAAAGGCCTATCAATTCTCTTTTGTGTGGGTCTATCCTTTAAACTTTGTTCAACCTACCAGGTGACACATCAGTAAGGGAAACTGATTCTCCTGCTTCCAGCAGCAATCAATTGCCAATAGATCTTCAGCTAGGGATGGGGCTTCTTGCCCACCTTCCCCATCCATGCTGGATTGTTTTCTGTTTCTGTTTTGTTTTGGTTTTATTTTTCTGGCTTGGGTGTGCACAGGTCTTGTGAATGCTGTCATGAGTCTTGAGATTAATTTGTGCAACTACCCTGTGGTGTCTAGACAACACAGCTTTCTTATGGCCATCAAACATTTCTGGCTCTTAAAATCTTGACTCCACCTCTTCTGCAATGATATCTGAGCCTTGGGAGGAGAGAGTGTAATATAGATGCTCCATTTAGGAATGAGTACTCCATAGGCTTCTAATCTCTGAACACGGTTTCTGTATTCATCACCATCTGCTGCAAGAAGACCCTCCTCTGGAGAGTGCTTGTTTTAACACTATGTCTCTTTAGTAGAATATTTGTGGGTTCTGAAATATAGCCTGTGACCTGTCTAGGTAAGTTCATGGCCCTGATGAGTGTCAAACATGCACTCTATCTTGTGAA